CCCGAATAATGAAGATTGAAGGTGGTTTAGTGGGGTAGGTCTGCGGTGCGTGATGGCTTTGGTGCGCAGCTACGAGAGATATGGAGATCCTGGAATGGGGAGGATGAAAGATGGGAGAGGGGGAAATCATGTTTTATTTTTTTGTTTCCTTTGTAGAATATTTATAATAAAAATCTAACTTATATACCTAATTTTTTATCCCATTCGGTACCCATTTAACATAATGTGGGTCCCATTGTACTGCCACACAAGCACATTAACAGTAAACATAACGGAAGGACCATTACTCCATAGTTTGACAAGTTGAAGGACTATATCTAATGAATTTTTAGTTAACGGACCAAAGCTACAATTGACTTAAAGTGAAAGGACTATAGCTACAATTTTCTCTATTAAAAAAACCAAAACTAGCAAAATAGCAGCCAGCACATTGGCTCAACCTGTAAAGTAGAAGACATTTTCTTTCTCTCTTTTGGATGTAAAGGAGAAGATGATCTTCAAGGTACTAGTATATTCTAAATCTCTAACGGTCATGAATTGTGACAAGCCGTGTCATGACAAATAAGGTGGGTTTAATATATAATTAATCATCTTTAACTAATAACTAATGAAAGTTTGTCATGTCGACAAAAATTTATGTTCTTTGTTATTGAACGCGATAAACTGAGTGACACAGTAGTTGAATTAAGAGATCAATGCGTGTAAGATATGTACGAGGGTTTTCTATTAGGTGAAGTAAAGTATTAATTTACAGGAATATTTATCCTGCTAGGTCATGGATCTTGAGGTGCGAAACATATTTACTAGGGTTTTCTATGTGGGCAGGAAATCTAATACTCTCTTATAAATATAAGGCTTAGGGAATGGGGTAGCAAACAAATAAATATAAGGCTTAGGTCTCCACTCTCATACACAATACTCCCCGTACAGAAGTGCATGAGGCGTGTGGAAAGAGGAAGATCTTTGATGCTTGTTTCCTCGTTCGTGGTTCAACTTTGTTCATGGCAATTGCCTATTGAGAGAGAGAACCAAAATTAGATATTTTTTTAATCCTTGCACAGAAGAATAATTCAAATTTTTTTAATGACATGTGAGTTATCCTATTTTTTTAGTTGTTTCCAAAATATATTTAAAACTACTTAAATGTCAAAATGGTCCTTGTGTTATGGCTATTTGGCCAAATTAGTCATCGTGTTTATCTCCATTAGCCAATTAAGGACATTCTATCCAATCTTTGTTAAAAAATTTATAACCTATTATGGAAAATTATTTTCAATTATATAAAAAGAAATATACATTTCAAAATGAAAACAAAATTAAATAAACCCACCCTACCATTCACTTGTCCTTGACCCAAGTCCAAGCCACAGATGGAAGCAACTTGATGAACGCGTCTCTAGATCTACCTCGACCCCACATGTCACCACGCAAGTTCCATCGTTGTGATCCCAAAAAATTAACCTCAATCACCTTGCCTTCGACCTTGTAATCGAGATACATACCGCAACTAAGAGAGTCATATATTATCATTTTCTTTATTTAAATTAAAATTTACAGAAAAATGCAAATAAATGAGAAATACACATACAAGAGATAAAACTTCCAGTCTGAAAAATTATTAAGGTTGTGACATGGAAAAGAGGGGAGGGGTGCATGAATTTTGGGAGAGGACAGAACGTTAGGAAGGAGGTCGGGGAGTTGGCAGGAGAGTAATTTTTTCTTTGATTTTAAATATTTGAAATCAAATAGATAATTTTATAAATAAGTTGATAATAATTTATAAATTTATTAATAGAGTTTGAATGGAATGTCCTTAATTGGTAATCATGAAACGATGCCAAATTGAAAACACAGGGACTCAATTGACCCAATGACTATAACACATGAACCATTCTGATATATATATATATATATATATATATATATATATTTTTTTTTTTTTTTTTTAACAAATAATATTATCTATACTAAGGGGGTGGGGTAGTGTGCTAAGCCTTACAATGAGTTAGCCATAATAATGTGGTTCAAATTCGTCTTTTGGCGAGAATCAAACTTAAAACGTTTCACTTACAAGTGAAGAGGAATACACTGACCGTAGTCCTAAGTAACAAACTATTTTGATATTAAAACGTAAATAATAAACTTTCCGGTTGACCTTGTACGCAAAAAAGAAATTATAATGCTAGATTGTGGTATGTACAAATACATATATATTATTAGTTTCCATCCAACGCCTGCGCATGTTGAAAATTGATTGAAGGGTGAGGGTAGCATGAAAACACAATATTCCCAGTCATTCTATCAAACGCACAACTCTTCTGAAATGAAACTGCCGCCATAATACATTAGTATCAACAACGGACGGCCTTTCAAATAGTGTACTGGTAAGAACATAACAACTACAGCAGTTGGGAGTTGGAAGACGTTAATATCTCCTATCCCACACAATGTAAAGCTGAGATGAAAGAATACCAAATCAAAGCTTAAGCGGCTCGTTCCAGTATACTGCAACTGAATTGGCCACCTGACAGATGCAGCTTCTCTGCTTTGTAACGGCATCAAGAGGAAGAGGAATGAAACTTCGAGATGGACCATAGAAATGAGGGAAGCTATTGGAACCGTCAACAACTTCATATACTAACCCTTCACCTAGCTGCAATAACACAAATAGAGAAATGATCTAAATACTGAGATACAAGGTATGAAGACAAAAAAGAAAACAATGCCAACAAACTTTGAGTGTGATCTTCATGCTGATACATGTACAAACAAATGGAAAGAATGGCTCAATACACATGGCTGTTCAATAGGAAACTAAGAAAATGTGGGTGGTGGAGGTCATTCAGTAATAAATAGGACTGTAAAAGGTCGTACCCAGTGCACAAGGCTCCCGCTTTACGCAGGGTCTGGGAGAGGTGAATGTCGGCTAGCCTTACCCCCATTTTATGGAGAGGCTGCTCCCAAGTCTCGAACCCGAGACCTACCGCTCATGGGCGAAGGCACTTGCCATCGCACCAAGTGCGACCTCTAATAAATAGGACTGTAGGATGGGGAAAAATTAAGGGGTTTCTCATTCAGTCTAGGTTTCTAACTTTCTATTCATTAAGTCTTTGTTATACTTTAGGGAGCTATATGTGCCACAAGCTCAGCTAGCAAAACATGGATTTTCGGAAGGCTAGATTCAAGTCCTGCCATCTCTTTGGTTAACAAAAGTCGCCAGAATCCCACCATGCTAGTGCAAGGAGCTCATGAGCAAGACAGACTGAGAGATCATTCCAAGGCGTAAGTGCAGGAAGGAAAATCTTATAGATTGATCACCAGCTACCTTCTGGCCTAATGACATTTGTTTCAAAATGTTTCAGGGTAAATTTACCATGTCTTGTTCCTCTATGTAAACTAAACATAGTATAAAAAGGTCTGTTCTAATCAACAACGCCTCCACGCAACTCTGAAGAAGTTAGTATCTGAAATCCATGCTTCTTCCGATTCCCTTAATTCAGTAGTGCATATTTACCTTCATACGCTTCCTCTCTTTTAATCTGCAGAATAGTGGTATCTGTTTTTAACTTCTCACTTCAAAAGTAGGCAGAATCATGGGGCAGGTGCAGTTGCAATATTAGGTCTCCGTATAACATATAGGAAGTATTGTAAAATATTAGTTAACTTCAATGTGCAGTAAACCAATTGGTCAATTACTTATGTCAATCAAAGTCTTCTGAATGTTGTGCAATCATCTAAGCTTTGAATTGTGAAATTCAGTTGCCAACATATTATTCTATGAACAGATTCTTAAAGCATATGCTCAGCTGGCCTGGAGACGAATCGGATTAACACGTTCCTATGAGATCCTAGCTCCTGAGTTGTTTGAAAATAGTTTTTTCCCAACAAATATATAGCTCATTTTGATCTTTAGTAGTGCATTTGGACGAGTGGTTTTAAAGTTACATTGTAGTACTTGAGTAGTTCATCGGTAGCCTTCTTGTAGTGCATGCCTACCAAATATAGCCAAAGTTGCATACAATTTTAGGAAAACTAATGAAATATCCAAAAAAACTTTAGTTTTAATGAAAAATGACAAATAAAGGTGTAGTGAATAGTACCCAAAAAAAGTAAAAATATGGTTTTTCGTTAAAAAAAACCAGTATCGGGAGTGTTTTGTTAAAACTCCTTGGAATTTTAAACTCCCTCATCCAAAATAACCATAGAATTTGAAGTTAGAGTAAAACCTAAACCTAAATGGATGTTCATATCTACGTACCTTATTAGTGTCAATTTGAAGCAAGTAAAGATCCACCTTAGTATTCACGAAAAAATTCTGCAATGTCGACTTTACCTGAAAAAATTTATGACATCAATAAATCAATGAACGCAATTAATCACCCATAATTTTGTTTTACTTTTATTACAAGCGATATTTCTAGTCTAAGTTAGACTAAAAGGGAGGTGGAGAGTTTGAACCGCGAGGCACTGAGTTGAGCCCTGTCCACCAGGGCAACTCATTTGCCACCCAGAATTTCTTTCAGTTGGACCGTGTCTAAGCTTTAATCGATGCAAAGCTAAATATAATCAAATTGGCAACTGGGTGGGATATATACACATATACATATATGTATTTGAAGAGAGATAGAGAGAGACCTGGTTGAGGTTGCTCAGATGAATGAACCCAGACTTCTTGTCAAGCTCTCCACCAAAAATAGAGCCAGAGCTCTGCAACTCTCCCCACTCCACAGCAGTGCTGATTCTGTACACATATTCTTCCTTCCCCTCACCTTCACCTCCACCTCCACCTCCACCTCCACCTGCAGCCATTGCTCTGGCGTCTGGAGATTGAAAGTCTTCCACCATCTGCATATCTAATACTACTGGACCCAGTTGGACTTTGACGGGCTTTTGAGGCGAGAGTGAGCCCATATGATTTTCCAACACCAAGAGTCCAAGCCCAAGCTGCGATTGCATGAAGAATCTTCCACGCGTCGTTTTTAAAGCTATTAACTTTCACTGCCTCGGCAGTGAGTAGACTCGGTACCCATACTGGGTTCACTGTCACTGAAGTCTTTGGTCTGCTTTTTACATAACAGTTGACAAACATGGCTACAATGGCGAGTGCAGGCCTGCTTAGCCCCCTCCATTGCCACCTCAGCGAGCTTCCGCTTTTGGGTTCGAGCTCGATCCGCAACAAGCTCGCAGAATTTCGGTTCTGTCAGCCCAATATCGCTCTAAAGCACGCAAGAAATGCGTCCATTGTTCCGGTCGTACGAGCGCAGAGTTCTTCTGGTTCGTCTTCTTCCCATTTTCTGGAAAAATGATTCATGGGTTTTGAATGTTATTGCATATTCCATTCAAATTATGATTTGGGCGTCTCGGATTTTAAATTTTAAATTTTGGCATGGCTTCTGACTCCATATTGTTGGTTGCTCGTAGGTTATGTCCCAGACTCCAAATTTTACAAAGTCGAAGCGATTCTGAGGTGTGGAAACAATTCACTCATCTGTTTGTATATACATTGTTGTTGGTTCTTAATTTTGTTTAGGTTGATTGTTTATAGCCCTGCATGTCTGCTGTGGTTTTTGTCTTCTGTTACTTTTATGTGTGGAATACATGAGGTTATGTGTTTTAATTACATCTAATTATTTCTTAATCTTTGCATGATTATGGGACGAGCTAGGCCCTGGCGTGTTTCGCAGGTTTCTTCGGTAAGAGCTGTTGAACCTTAAACACAGCTTACTGCATATCAATTGGCATCGCATTTTGCATTGGCATAATAAAATTAGGAAAGCAACAAATTGATTTTTCAAATTTTGTTGATTGGATAGTAGGAAGAATAGCTCTGTGTTTCTAAGCCTGTGTAGTTATCTAAGCACCATCCCGACTTCTTCTGCAGTTGCCTTTAATCCTTTTTACACACTCAAATCCATTTGCATATATCGAACACATAGTCACCACTGATTTGGATTGGAGCTCAAACACGATAAACGTTGAAGGTTCATGAAATTCTAATCTAGAGCGCCATTGATGTCACTGGACCTAGATTTTGATTGCGGTGTGGCCTGTTGTGCCATGTCAAAAGATCAGTTAGTAGTTGTTGGTTGTACCACTATACAATTCATTTCTGGAATTTAATGAAAATTATTTGTGACTGCCTCACTTAGTACCTATCAGCAACTTGTTGGCCAAGTTTCTGACTGCTCTCTGTATGCATTGCCTTGATCATAGTCAAGGCAAGATAGCTTCTGTCTTTTAATAATACTCATGCTATCCTCGGAATTTTTGCCACTTCTCTCCTTTCAATTCATTACATCCATGGACCATGAGGCCTCCGTTGGGGACTGGGATGCTATGCCAGTGGAATTGTCCGTGGTGCACTAAGTAACGTCATTTGCTTACTAAAAGAAATGTAAAAGGAAAATGACCACTAGAAATTGAAGAATTAAGATGTTTCATGTGGTTCATATTTCATGAACTTATTGTAAGAAGAAAATAGGGTTATAGTCCATAGTAGGTTAAGAATTGTACTTTATCCTTTCTTTTTGGTTGCACGTTTTCACATGTTTACTAATGTACAGAATTGTTGTTAGCTCCTTGAGATAATAGCATAAGCATTACTGTGGGTTTCTGGAGTCTTCAATCTTTTCCTCTGTCATTTTTCTAGAGCTCCTTGAGATAATAGCATAAGCACTAATCTTTTCGTTTCCATCCTTTGTAAATCGAAGGCTCTGCTGAAAATTGGAATTCGTGGTGTTACTGTATCTGATGTTCGAGGCTTTGGTGCTCAAGGTGGTTCAACAGAGAGGCACGGTGGTATGTTCTTGCTTTGGCATGGATATTTTCTCTTCGTTTTAATTAAATCTAGCAGATGTTTTTGAAACACTCCCTAGCCATTATATCTACTGATACTTATTTATCATATCATCCTACTCTTTTCCTATATTATCCTTCATAATTTCTTCCTTTTTTATTACTTTGTTAGGCTCTGAATTTTCTGAAGACAATTTTGTTGCTAAGATTAAAATGGAGATTGTAGTGAGCAAAGACCAGGTTTGAAGAGTCTGATTGATAATTTTAGTTCTATAATGCATTCTTTTTGAGATATTGATGCCCAGGGAAGAGGGGTTGAAAATCCCCAATTGAATCCTGCTCTCTTCACTTCATAGGTTGAGGCTGTGGTTGACACAATAATTGAGGCAGCCAAGACTGGAGAAATCGGCGATGGCAAGATTTTGGTAAGTCTCTAAACTTGTTCATTTTGAAACTACAAAGATACGGTCTACCGTTAGCACCTAAGCAGGTTAAAATAAAATTTTAATGAATAATTATTTCTTTGACATATATAATTATTAATTTGTGTTGAAAATGATGTACACTAAATTGCACCTTTCCATTTTGTCACCTATAGATGTTCTAAAGAGATACACTACCCTTCCAGAATTAGGGAGGGTCAGATTCATTAGTTTACATTATATATCATGTTTGTGATGTCAGATACTAAGGTCATCTAAGAGTTCTAGTGAAGTTGTACTTTAAGGTCAGGGACTCAGGTTGGTAGGACAAGTAGCTATTTTCGACAAGACTGATCATTTGCCAGATATCTTTATACTCCGTATATATGCAATGACCATGCTAGTTATATGTAAAACTTAAAACTCAAGGAACATATCATTTTTTGGCCTCTCCAGTGAGGTTTCATCAAACTTTCTAATGAGGTTTTGTATCCTGTGCAGTGGTGCCAGTCTCAGATGTAATCAGAGTTCGCACTGGTAACATTTTACTCGCCAAATGATTTAAGTTTAAGATGATGTATCCAGTTGTTTGCGTGTCTCTTTGGATTGATGATTGCTCTCTAGAGTTTACCTAAATATTTTCTTCTTCTTGTATATGTCATTTTCAGGGGAGCGTGGAGAGAAGGCGGAGAAGATGACAGGAGGGCTGTCTGACGTGTCCTCTGCTTGAGTGAGATTTGACGAAACTTGATGAGTACCACTCTATTCAACCCCCCATCCAATCTTCCCTCCTTGTCCGTTAGATCTTAGAAGATTAGTGCTTTATTTTCGGACTGTATGCAGTGATGGAAGAGTAGAATAAGGTGTAATACCAGTCCTGTAGCTTCTATCTTTTCTCAGAAGGCAAATCGGTAGAAAATAACCCGGCGGTTGTTTCCCCTCTTACTTATTAAATAAAGTAGTGAGCTTATTAGCGATGAAGAAGAATTTCCTAACAAAAATAGGTGGGTTACTTGTCTCTGTCTTTGGAAGATGAATGCTATCTGGTCTATGTAAGCTTGTTTTACTTGTCAGTCGATGAATTATGCAAATGCGCTTCTGGAAGGAAGCTAACAAACACAAATCTACGACCGGAGGAGGCCGAATGCCAATCTTCTTTTGAATATATCAAGCCTGATAACTAATGAAATCGACAAACTTTCTTAGCCGTGCAGTCTGCTCGTCGGTCCAATCAAACCGCTCGTAAACCCCCAGCAGTAAGGTAAGAATCTGCTCAAGGATTCCAGCAGACGGAGAATCAGAAACTTCGGCTTTAACCGTAATTGCTGACCGTCAACGACAATATCAGAAGCTAGATCGTGGTTGAGCTGCTAAATGGGTTTAGCTTAGCCACTCCATGCACAAATATGGAGACGAATTGAATTGAGAGACGATGAGAGAAATAAGAAAGAATTCTTTAAATTATTAGCTGTGATCTATGTTATACAAATACACAAAAATGGGAAGATGAGTGTTGCAATGTTCAACGAGTTTTAAAAGGCAACCAGCTGGTGGCTTAGCCACGGCAGTTTAGATTTTAGGATAGTTTCTTGTGCTACAAAATAAAAAAGGGTTTTTTTTTTATCATAAATGATCTTTGAAATTGATTCATTCCATCGAAATGGTCCAAAAATTAAAAATCAATCAATGTAGTCTCTGAAAATAGATGTCACAAATTAATATGATCATTTCATCACAAATCTGTCAAAAATTCTGTTATGTGGCACATAACTGGGTCCCATAAGTCTATTTAAATATTGACATTTGGATTAAAAATAATTAAATAACTAAATATCTTTTATTTTAGTATAATTAAAAACTTCAACCAAAAAAAAAAAGAAGAAGATGATGTTCTTTCCCTCCCACCCAAGCACAGAATGAATGGAATTGGCTTTGCAGCCATAAAAAATTCAATTCGTTAATTGAATTTTCAACAGCTCATTTTGTTGAATCTTTTTGAGGGATAAACACAACGAATGGAATGTTTTGTTGGCCGCACAGGCCTAAAGGTTTTAACAGACATGGCTGGAGAGTGGAAGCAACAGCCCACAAAGTTTGCAATCGGAGCAGTAAGAAAAAAAAACAAGAAAACAATGTTTTATCATGGTTTTCATTGTTTTTGGCACCCAGAATGTTTGGATGTGGGAAATCAAATGTCTTCTGATACATATATACCCACCTAAGCACAACCACACCTACACAACAAACATCAACACCAACGCTTCCAAACCCCAAACCTAAAACCTCGTTATCACAAACACACAACACAACACAAGAAATCAGAAGACTGACATCACAGGGAGGAAAGCGACTGTCGCTCATGGGCAGAGCCAATGAAGGCTACTGGGTAGATGTCCCACTCAAGTAATTCATTTGTTTAATTGCAAACTACAAATATATACATTCTTCCGTCTATCATGTACTTTATTTTTTCATCACTTTGCCACTTTCCACTATTATATTGAAATTTTTGTAACATTGCAATTGTGATACATCATAATTTAAAACCATCCTTAATAAGGTTTTCTTAGTTATTTTCGGTTGCCCCCACTAGAAAAAATTTCTTTTTTTTTCCCTTTTTTTAATGTTTTATATTTTGCAAAAATAAAAAATATTTTTATTATATAATTATTTTTAATTCAAATGTCAATACTTAATTAGATTTATGAAACCTAATTATGTGCCTGTTTGGGCCCAAAATAATAGTTTGGGCCGAGGGTAGAATCACTCTCGGCCCGAGAAGCCGTGCGACGAAAGGGTCATGGAGCGTTCAGCTCATGGGCTTCCAAGCCTAAGTCGGTTAAATCAGAACGCAAGTCGAGTCTTAGTACAATAGGGACTCTCGACGAGATCAATAATCTAGAAAGCGAATCCGGCTCAGTTAAGGACTAGATTCGTAGTCCTAGCGGAGATAGGACTGATCGAGGGGATGTTAACCCGGAGAAGGAAACCTAGTCCGAATAGAATTGGAACTCGGGCTCGATGTGCTGCTACTATAAATACAAGACATTCAGCAACACAAGAGGGCTCCCTGCAAATCAATACAAAATTGCCCTGCGCAAATTCTCACAACTTGTGATTTTTCTTTTTCCTTTTTCGCTGACACATCTTCCGTTGGCATCAACAGCACTGTGGAAGCAACCGGTGATATCTTAAGTCGGCATAGATAACTCTGTCACCGTAGAGTCAGTCGGTCTCGCAGTACCTTCCGTTGGCATCAACAGCACTGCGGCGAGAACGATTGATTACCTATCTAAGTCTCGGTCGAGAAGGGTTTCTAAATCCTTATTGGTCGATGTCATCTCATCAGCCTCCTCGGCGAAGTGAGGTGTTACAGTTATTACATTCGGCACATTGAAAGCCGAATTTGATATTGAACTTCGTAAGAATAGTAACCTTGTCTTCAGATTCGAGAGCCCAAGAGGCCGAGACGTGTTCCTTTCTCGCCCGCAATCGCAAGACGCAGAAGTCAGTAGCGCGACCCAACGCAACATCAACAAATTTACTCCTCGGCCGACGAGTTGGCACGCCCCGCATTCACCGAAGGACGTAGTTAGCTTATAGATTACTCGGCCTGCGCGCCACGTAGGCTTTGTAGTTTCTAGGGTCAACAGTGCCATATCAACAAATAACATAATTTTTAATAGATTTGTGACGGAATGATAACATTGATTTGCGATATCAATTTTCAGAAACTACATTCATTGATTTTCAATTTTAAGGATCATCTTAATGTAGTTGAGACAAAGCCTAGCGTTGTTCGAAGGCTATCAACGAATCAAACGACGACAACCAACTTCTTTGAAAATTGTATTCTTCCTCTAATCAAATTTTCAAGTATTAAAACGTAAATAAATAAAAATAAAAATTTGGTGCGGTCGGTGACGTCTCTCTGTCCTTCCTTGGGGTCCATCTACAAATGCAGAGACAGATCCTTCGTTCCACGTATAGCGTGAAATATAGCGTCGGTATCGGTATTGCTGCCAAGGACAGCCCTTCCCCTTCTTCTTAGAGACGCTCATACGCCCTAGAGAGAGAAACCACCGCAGATCTACTCTCTTTCTCTCTCTCTCCTCAAATTCTCCATCTTCCTCAGGTAACTCCAACTTTACCCTTCCTTCTTCTTGTTCTCGTCGGATCTGTACCCTCCACTGATTTTTACTTTTTCATTTTTTATGTACCCATTTGCACGAATTTTCGCCATTTGATCCGATCTCCAATTTTCTGACTTTTTGTGTTTCGATCTCGAATTTTGCCCGAAATTGTGATGAAATTTACAAGATTTAGACCCTCGTTCTGAATGTGAATGCTGATTGATTGATATATAGATATTTGAAATTTTGGGTTGGATTTTTTTATCAAATTTTGAAGGTTCGAAAATGGGGCTGTCATTCACGAAGCTGTTCAGCCGTCTGTTTGCGAAGAAGGAGATGCGCATTCTGATGGTGGGTCTCGATGCGGCTGGTAAGACCACCATTCTCTATAAGCTCAAGCTCGGCGAGATCGTCACCACCATTCCCACCATTGGTATGTCAATCACTTGCATAACCCATCTCCTCCTTGATCTTGATTCATCACTCGATATCAGTTGTTGTTTATCGTTTTCCATGGTCTTAGTTGTTAATTGCTTTGAATCATGGTGAATTATGTGATTAGGATTCAATGTGGAGACTGTGGAATACAAGAACATCAGCTTTACTGTGTGGGATGTCGGGGGTCAGGACAAGGTATGGACTCTTTTTCTTTTTAACTTAATTAATTTTTCAAAAATGTTACTTCTTTCAATTGCAATTGAGTACTGGTAAATTTTGGTGAAAGTTGAATCCTGCATCTGATTTACGTAGTTGAGTTTGCCTGATGAAAAACTAAATTGTGTAAAACTATAGCAACTCAGCAAGTTTGGTGCCATGGCCAACGTGAAATTTATCATCTCCGTGATTGTTTTGTGTAAATTATGGTTTTAATTATTGATAGAATCATGGAGGTCAATTGGTTCCTAATCCTAACCTTCCTTCATAATCGACTAGTTAACGAGCCCACTCAACTCGTACCATTTGTCTTTCATCGTACAAGCTGATCAGTTAAACATCGTATTTTGTGGGATTGTTTCTCCTTTGGACTATTTTATCTTTTTTGGGCATACATGTTCCCCATGATTTTTCTCTTTCGGAATAATGCCCAACTAAATTACTTGTTCCTGAGGATTGTTTTATTGATGAGTTGAGTGGAGAAATTATCCAATATGTGGCTGTCAATTCACATACTGTATTACTTCTACGGTTTACGTCATTTCTCATTATCAGTTAGGTGTTATTATAGCTGCTGAACTTTCACTCTATTGTGTGTTGATATTTTGTTTTGTTTTTCCAGATCCGACCTTTGTGGAGGCATTACTTCCAGAACACACAAGGACTTATCTTTGTGGTTGATAGCAACGATCGTGACCGTGTGGTTGAAGCCAGAGATGAGCTTCACAGAATGTTGAATGAGGTATGCAACTTCTTATTCTGATTCTAAAGAGCGGGATGAAATATAGCACAATGAAAACTTGTGCCACTTTAATTGCTACATATTCATTTCTCTTCTTTTCTTTCTCCTTTTCATTTTGATCATTAACCATTGCTTGTATTTGGCAGGATGAGTTGAGGGAGGCTGTGCTTCTTGTATTTGCAAACAAGCAAGATCTTCCAAATGCCATGAATGCTGCTGAAATAACTGATAAGCTTGGTCTTCACTCTCTCCGTCAACGCCACTGGTAAAACTGAATATAGCCCTTCTCACAAACTCGCTCACACACACACACACCTCCTTGAAACTAACTTTGTAAACTACCTTTTGCAGGTATATCCAGAGCACGTGCGCCACTTCTGGTGAAGGACTGTACGAGGGTCTTGACTGGCTCTCAAACAATATTGCAAACAAGGTGGACTCATGCTCTCATACATTATAAGTAACTCGATTGTTCATTATGGTTTCCATTTCTGATTTTGGTTTTCCGATGTTACATTTTGCAGGCATAGATGGCTTGACTTGAATTTTGTGTATCGCCGATTCTGCTGTAATATGAAGTTGACATTGATCGGTCCTTGGTATTCTGCATTTCTCTGCTCTTAAGTACCTGTTTTTACCATTTTTGTGTTTACTTTTGCAAACAGTTCCTTTTCTTCGACATGTAGATGTAGTTAAGAATAATTCCTAAATTCTCAATTTTTCACCCAGTATTAGCGTAATAGCTTTGTTTCCCCTCCATTGTTTTGTGAAATGAAATAGCTGTCATCTATCTGTTAATATTTTCTCTCGCATCATCCAAATTCAAATCAAATGGATTTGGGAAGTATTGTTTGGCTTGTGAAATTATCATCTGATTTGAAGTATTGTGGATTTGTGAAATGAAATCCCTTACTATAATAATGTATGCAGAGGCGTTGCCCAAATGTTTATTCTTTACATTAGAAAGGGTCGAGTGATTGAACCATAAATTTGTCATAATTCTAAAACTAATTTCCCTCTCTTAATTAATGTAGCATAAAGAGTAATATCGCTTGTAATAAAAAAAATCGTGATCATTTGGGTGTTACACGTATAGGTTCATGCCTCCGGTCAGGTTTGTCTTCACAAAGGCCATCCAATGCATCAAATCATGGTAAGCGGACTGGTATATACTTGAATACGCTGCTTATCGACGGGATAAGGAGAAGGGTGGTGCTAGATGCCCCAAATTTAATGCACAAATTTGGTGTTCCTAGCATTATTCAGTTGAGAATATTTGGAATTCAAATGTCTTAACTGTCGATAGTGTGTGAGATTAGGGACACCGAAAAATTGTTTTACAAACCTTAATTTGAAAGTTTGGTGCAGTTGGTTAAGAACATACTCTCTCAAGAAATAGGTTTTATAGAGAGGTGAATTTGAACTGCAAGAAATAGGTTTTATAGAGAGGTGAATTTGAACTGCATTATTGCGAGCTCATTGTAAGGCTAAACTCATCTACTCTTTAATGTAGATAATATCGATTTGTTCAGAGAGAGAGAGAGAGAGAGAGAGAGAGAGAGAGAGAGAAGCAACTACTCTTTAATGTAGATAATATCGATTTGTTCAGAGAGAGAGAGAGAGAGAGTGAGAGAGAGAAGCAAGTAGCACACATAAACCCAATACAGGGTTTATGGGAGCGTTTGCTTCAGAGAAGAGAATTTAGAGTGAACAAATTGATTTGTCCTACCAATAAACATATATTTGATTAATTAACCATTTGCTCCTCCATAAAAGGATGATGGATTACATAAATGGCGTTTTTTCTCTCTTTCATACAAGATTATCAACACACATCAAACCTGAGCAGGTTCACTTAACAAACCCAAAAATAAAATACAAAAACCAAAACCAAAACCAAAAGCTGCTTACATTACTCATTCCTCATTCCCCCGATCGACCCCAACATGTATTGGACCCAAATTCCAATTAATCACCAATTTTATCGGAAAAAGGGAAGGAATTCATCTAAATATTTCCACTCTCTCGTCGACCTCGTAAATGGATGAACGGTCTTGATCGACTAAGCCGCTGAGGGGGCTGTCATGCACTGGACCGCAGCTGCTTCCGACAGAGCCTCCATGAAAGGCTGCATGTTCACCCCTTCACCACCTGAAGCTGCTGCTGGACCCACAACTCCTCCAGCTGCCTTCTTGTAGTCCAACGACTCGTCGTAGTATATACCCCACCATTTCTTCACTAGCATCTTAATGTCCTCCCTCTGCATGTTCTCCTCCTTCCCTGTATACCTCCACGGCTTCGATCCCTGTAACAATCAACGTACGTATATTAATCAAACCCTACAGAAAATGTGACACCTCGTATATCTATGTAAAATTAAAACTAAGTAATACTTGCTGCTGCACAATAATGAACGACTTTGACTTTGTCTAGCTCCACATTCTCCGGGTGACGCCACAGCATGGCCAGGACCAAATTGTAAACCAAAGGAATTGGCTTGTATATTTTCCGGAAATACATATTTAACAAGTCCTGTTCTGCAAACGGGGTCGGAGGGGTCCCTCTGAGAGTCCTCAAAAGGTCATGGTAGGTCTCGAGGCCGGGCTCGAACACGAACATGCCCGCGTTGAAGTAGAGCGACGGCGGTGGGCCAAGCTCCGATGTGAGCCACTGGACCTTCTCCGGGCACTGCTGGCAGTACCCGATTTGGTATTGCGGCGTGTGACTCCACGTTTTCTTACAGAAACAATCCATCACGGCGTAGAAATGTCCATCTGGCAAGTCAAAGAGGTGGTCTATGTTGTCGTACACCTGAATGTCCCGTCCAAGTATATCATCTTCTCGTACTCCACAAACTGCAATATTAATGAAATAAAAAAAAATCAGAAGTTATTAATTTTTCAAATTCATCTTAATTATGACATCGTAAACCAAAAAATTGATTGGAACAAATTTATGAAAGTAACTAAATATTTGTTAGGTAAGTAACTTAATTTGTTAAAAACATTCACTATTATAAAAACAAAAGTGTCATATTTGATTCACTCTCATCGTAATTTAGATGAATTCGTATACATTTATGTACAACTAAAATTTGTTACACATGTTTTTTTTTTTATCTCTTTGAAAAAGAGAAAAACAAGAGACAAAAGTTTCCTTCGCTTCCAAGACAAGACTGCCACGTGTAAGACCCAGAACAACCCAAATTCTACGTGTAACAAAAAGAACGCATAAACGTACGAAGCCACGTAAGCAGTGGCGAAGCTACAGAGGGACTGGGAGGGGCGGCCGCCCCTCCCCTTGCCGGAAATTAAGCCCATGAACGTGGTTCCGCCCCTCTGGTCTCGTCGGAATGAATGGCTGCACTGTAATCTGCGGATTGGTTTCTGGGTTTCTGCTGCTGCACAGCAGCAACTTATGTAATTTTTTTTTAAATCCCTCATGCCGTTTCATTTAGTATTTAAAAAAAAAAAAATCCTTAAACAAACGACGCCGTTTCGTTAATTGCTTAAAAAAAAAGAAAATTTTAAAGGGGACCACTGTCCCCGTGCCTTCCATTTTTCAAAGTAGACCTTCACTTTTTGAAAACCACCCCACTGTTTGAAAACCTTCAGCACAGCAGCCAACCTGATGGGTTGGTTTTCCACTTCTCTCTCAATTTTAGGTAAAATTTTTAACTTTCTAATTTATATTATCTCTAACCCTAATTGATTAATTAATACAAAATTTTAGTTAATTAATATAGAATCATAGAGTAATACACTAATATAGTTATTGATTTTTGATTTTTGCATATAAATATGAATCCTATGAATGATTATTGATGAATGAAATTATTGTCTAGAGTAAAAATTGAATTCTTGATTATTGATATTAATCTATTAATTGAATTTTTGTGTATTAAATAATTTATATGAATATTGGTATTGATTAATTGAATTGTTGGTTTAATTAGTTAGTACTCATATTGACTATAGTGTAGCTTACTCTAGAATTAAGAGTCTAAGACTTTTTTCTTTTCTTTTTCATATACAGTTAAACAATGGAACGATACTATAAGAAACAGCTTAAATCCTCCTTCAAATATTCCGGCTAGTCCTTCTTCGAATATTCCGAGTAGTCCTCCTTTGAATATTCCAAATATTTCTTCTTCGAGTCTTCCAGGTAGTTCCCAACAAAGTGAGGTCACTGAGTTGGATGAAATACTGTCTAATCTTCATGTAAACCCTGGACATAGACATTGAATGCTTGATTATTCACCTAATTATCGTGAAGCAATTCGCCGACATTATCTCCAAAACAATCCTTATCAACCTAAAGATCACATCATGCCCAGAAAAGTTAGCAATAATCGATGTTTTGTCACCCGTTGGTTTGATAATTTTAAGTGGTTGGAGTATAGTATAGTAAAAGATACCGCATTTTGCCGTTATTGCTATCTATTCAAGTGTGATTTTGATGAAGAGGGAAATGCCGGAAGTGATGTCTTCACTGAGATTGGGTTTACAAATTGCCGGAAGTTCGCCCCTCCCTCCGATAAATTCTGGCTTCGCCACTGCACGTAAGCAAACTGAAAACAACGTACCTCCCAAATCCGCAGCTTCGAGTAGTTGATGACGTAATAGGCCATGGCGAACTGGGTCTGGTTCTCGGGTGGGTAAACGGGTTCGATCTCACGGACGATGCAACCCTGCGATTGAAGAATGCGGCGGTGCTCCTCCGGGACGTCGGGCAAGACTGCAACGACCAATGGGTACGCCGCATTGACCTTCCTCAATCCCTTGGCCAACCCGACGACGCCCTTCACGTAGTCGCCGTTGCCGGCCAAGAAAGTCACGTATGCCCGACTCGGCAGGGTGGCGGTTTTAGTGAAACCCAATTTGGGGACGCTGGTGGGGATGAGTTCGGGAGCCATGAGTGATGACGGTGTCCAAGGGAGAAGGGAAATAGTGTTTACAGAGGAAGGCCTTGACCCTTGGGAAGGTAGAGAGAGAAACTAGCTGAGCCCGATGAGAGAGAGAGAGAGAAGGCAGAGATTGGGATGTCTTCGTTTGGTGGTGTTGTTGTGGGTGGTTTGGTGGAGGGGATGGAGGGGGTGGAGGGGGTGGAGGAGGTGGAGGAGGGTTTAAATAAGGGTGGGAATCAAAGAAATGAATCTGTGCGAGCGAAATTTGTGGAAAACTCGTCAAATCTTTAGGGGCGGTTATGAGGCTGATGCCGTACGCGTGTCCATCTGGGGGGATCCTACGGATACTGGGTGCAACGGGAAAGTTCTGGCATGGGATCCCTATTCTAAAAGGTTCTAAAAGTTCTGGGATGGGATCCCTATACTACAGTCGTTTCTTTTCATTTGTAAATAAAAGGTTTTAAGTTTGATTCTCGCCAAAGATGAATTTAAACAAAATTATTGCTAGCCTATTGTGAGGGTAAGTCCACCTCCTTCACTTTACCATAGATAATATCGTTTGATAAAAAAAAAAGAAAAAAAAAGTTCCAACACGTTGGGAAAAAAAAAAAAAATTCCAACACGTTGAATCAAGTTTGTGGTTGATGTTGTAAAGTAGGTTTGCCATGTCATAAGTGCCATGAAATGAAATACTAAGACATGTCATGTGTGGCCGAAATCTTCACTCGTCAATCCTCTTGACTTTTCATGTGAAGCTTGGATTTTTTTTTTTCAAGGGTTTGAGAACATATTACGAGCACCTCATACTCATACGTAGGAGGGAGTTGTGGTAGGTAAATTATATACACATGCATGCATGTAAGATCAAACAATAAAACTCAAAATATTACATAC